CCTCTCGATAAAGGGCATGGTGACCTATTTCAGTCGGGGAGTGTTCACACAGCTTGTTGGTTGACTGAGTTTTGTAGGGGAAAATAGGTCAGGTTGGTCTTACTCGCAGTTGTGTTTCTGTCCAAGGCAAGCTATGTTTTCCGGTATTGCGGTTTTGTGTTAAAGGCTGTCAAATGTTTGGAACCCTTATTCCTGTTAGGTATGAGCAATGAGAGACACAAGCTGTCTCCATTGAACCTTTTTTTGTTTTTGTTTGTTATTTTTGTGTAGTAAGTGGCTAGAGCATTTGCTCGGGTGCACTCCATGACTGCCTCGGTGATTTTCAATTGCTGAGAATTAACCGGGTCACTGGGCTTTTGTGCTTAAAATCCTCCCACAATTCTACACGAAGACTAGGGTTGAGTGAGTCAGTAAGCATTTGGTAAGGTAGTTAGCCAGAGGAGTCTGTCTTTCTGGGGCCTGCCTCCCAACAGTCAATTGAGTCAGGTAATGTTTCAGGTGTGGTTCCAGTCCTGTCTGGACTTGGGATTGGACTATCATTTAAAGAACAGAAAGAGCTTCTAATGCTACACTTGGAACGTGATGTGGAGGTTGAAAAGTTGAGACAAAATGCCCGTCTTCAGGAAGCGGAGATGGCTCAAGTTCAGGTTAGACAAAAACTAGACTTGGAAACGCTATAGATTGGAGCTGATGAGTGAAGGTAAGCTTCCATCTGAGACTAGGAGAGCTGCAGAGACTGTAGGTCAGGTTCCTGCAAATCAAGCATTTGATATTGCTGTTAATTTGAGGATAGTTCCGAGGTTCAACGAAAAGGACCCAGACATTTTCTTTGTGTTATTTGAGCGTCTAGCAGAGGCACGAGACTGGTCTGATGTTGAGCGCACCCTTCTGCTTCAGTGTGTCTTCACTGGAAAGGCCCAGGAGGCTTTAGCTGCCATGACTGCTGAAGACAGTAGCAATTACCAGTTGGTGAAAGCTGCTGTACTTCGGGCATTTGAGTTAGTACCTGAAGCATATCGACAGCGCTTTAGGTTACTCAGAAAAGAGAAGCAGTCACACATGGAGTTTGCTCATGATTTAACCACTAGTTTGAACCGTTGGTGTGTTTCCTCACAAGTTAAAACTCTGGAAGATCTGCAGGAGCTTATCTTGCTTGAGCAATTCAAAAGTACCTTGCCTGACCGTGTTGTTACCTACATTAATGAGCAGAAAGTAAACAGAGTTTCAGAGGCAGCCAAGCTGGCAGATGAGTTTACTCTGACCCATAAAGTGTTTTTTGGCGACAGCCGTGGTCGTGGAGATGCGGGATACAAAGAGAGTAGTGCGGGGGCTCACTTCAGTAAAGGTGTTTCAGAAGGATTGACCGTGGGAATCAGGGTAAGTTTGACCCCAATCGTATCTGTAATTACTGTTTTAATAAAGGACACTGAAGAAACGATTGTCCTGAGTGGAAGAGAAAGTCCAGGCCTGGGGCTGTGTCGGCAAAAGCGTCTGGGGCTGTGGCATCGTTACGTGCAGTGGAAAGGGAAAGTGCCATTGCGGCTGTGCGGAAACACACTCAGTCCTCTTTATCTGAATCGGTAATTCAGGCTCCTGTCAGTGAACATGAGGAGATAGACCCTGGTTATAAAGCTTTTGTGTCTGATGGTTTTGTTTCACTGGTCGGGAGTAAAGAGAAGGTACCGGTAAAGATATTAAGGCGAGACACCCCAGGTGAATAGGGTAATTTTTTTTAACTTAAAGGTATCAGCTAGAAATTTCTCCAGTTAATTACTTACAATAAGGCAATTGTCTTTTGTATTACAAGTTTTCTGAAATAGCATGTTTAAATATGCAAATTATCTCATTAAATATGCACATATTTTAACACATTTCAGAAATCGAAATCTGAACTTTGGATATAGCCAGATTCAAAATTCTTGTTTCATTTTGTAGTCATATTAGTATCTAAGGCTTTTACAGAAGGGATATTGGATATCTCTTTTTATCACTCCATAAATCAGAAAATACTGTCAACAGCCCTAAAATATCCATTTTCGCCATGTTTTTAGGTATATAATGTTGTATAATTCAGGCTATGAATGATATATGAACAAACCCTTCTGTAAAAGCCTTCATAATATTGATAGGAATATAACTGGAAGGTTTGGTGTATGTATGTGCTACTGAAGTTGAAATTTCGAACTCAGAGTAGGAGAAAAAACTCATTTTGAGAAAACGACCTTTAAAGATTGCAGTGAGGCGCTAGCTAAACCCTCTGTTCTTTGGATGACAGCTTGCGCATCGACGCACTCCGTGAAGGTATTTCATGTTCAGGGTCATTTTTTTTTTTATAACCTTGCTTCGTGCAAGTGACAATTGTTGTCGTCTTCTCTGTGAACGTTTTTTTCGCCGTTCTTTTTGCATTTTGAGATTTCAATTTCTAGCTGAAAGCTAACCAGGAAGTGTTTTAGCACACCACGTGACGCATCTGAACGAATCACGTTGTCAGAAATTGACACCAGCCAATGAGATTTCGTTTCTTGGTTTAAGACCCCTTTGTGCTTTCACGATTGGTTGCTGATACAAAGGAAATGACCATATTTGGATCCGATGAGATTGTGCAGGAGAGACACAGCTTTCCAGCGATACCTCTGTTGACATGGTGCACACAGCGGTCGTGGTACTTTATGTTACGTTAGAATGCTAACTTTTGGTGAATTTAGGAGAAATCTACAGACGCAAATAGACAAACTATAGTAAAATAAACACTTAAATGTGTATTTTGTACGTTTTTCTTCCAAAACCCTGAAAGAAAACATGTTATGGAATCAAAATAGCACAAAATCTCAAAATTGACCTGTACTTGAAAAACGATGTTTTTGCCTGCCGTGTCTCGCCTTAAGGGACTCAGGGGCGTTGGACTCGTTTATTGTTGGTTCTGTGTTACCTTTCTCTCCTAAGACCGACACCGGTTCCAGTGTTGAGGTCCGGGGGATGGGATTAACCGTCTTCTCTGCTCCACAGCATAAACTGACATTAGTCTCCAGTCTGCTGCAAGGGGAAGTGGTCATGGGAGTGCGTCCTTCTCTGCCTATGGGGGGCATACATATCATCTTGGGAAATGACCTGGCTGGTGATCAGGTATGGCCTGGGTCTCCAATCTCCCAGGTAGAAGGTGCAAAGTTCCCCAAAACCCCTCCTGTGATGCCTGCCACCGGCGCAGTAACACGTGCTGCCAGCCGTAATGTTTGTGACCTTACAAAAGATAAGAAAAAATAATCTGTATTTCCTGTGCCTACCTTTCCTTTGCCTTTGTCTTGTAGCGACCTTGGGAATGAGCAAAATAACGATCCCACCCTTCAGGCTCTGTACAGCCAAGTTCTACCGGATGAAATGTTGAGTCATGTAACTGAGCCACAGCGAACAGAATTAGTTGATCTAATCAAACGCCTTATGCGTTGGTGTCTCTTCCTCCACCCATCTGGACATTAGGCATGTCAAAGGTGTGGATAATACAGTGGCTGATGCCATGTCCAGGGCTATAACCTCCTAGATTAACTAGTGTTTTTCTCCCTGCAGGGGTGTCCGTTTTTTTCTGTTTGCCCTCTCTTAAAATGCTTCTTGGGTACCAAAGTTGCTGAGGGGGTGAGTTAGATGCTACAGATGTGCTTGCAGGTTGTATGAACATTTCAAGGTTAACTTGGTTTTGTCTATTGTGTTTTGTGTCTGTGATTTTGTGCCCCAGGTTGGAGGATCCTAGTGGATCCTCCATTTTAAGGGAGGGGGTGTGACGACCCCTCCCCCCTTCTGCCTGGCTGTGCTCCCTGCCTTGCTGTCCTCTTGTAGGTGCTGGGAGTGTCGTCCTGTTTGTGCCCGCCCATGTAGAGGCGGAGCCTCAAGAAGGTATAAAGGTTGCCCAGCTGCAAGGATCACTCTCTGATTCTGATCCTGGCATGCTGCAGCAACCTCAGCCTACAGCCTGTGTTAGGTTTGATGCACCCTCCAACATGCTACAACACCCTTCCACACACCCACACACTGCTGACACTACTGACAGGCTGATTCTTACGTACACAATTCATCAGAGGTGTTTTTCCTTTAACCTGTTAAATAAACAGATATTTGGCATTTAACTCTGTGTGGCCTCCCTATTTGTTCCAGCCTTAAGGCAGGTTGTAACAATTGCATCAATTATTTCAGTTATGACTTCAAGAAAGGGCATTCATTTGTTTTTTAACGTACACCTTTTTAATTTGAATTTAATTTGAATTTCAGAGGCAATATTGTATATTTACTCACTTTTTACTGAAAAACATGTGATATAAATGAAATCATATAGTACTGTATTTCCTACCAGTATTTAAAAAAATATACAAAAAAAGTGCCATCGTAGACAAATTGATAGAATTTACAGGATAATATCAATGGTAATATAATACTGTGAACAGAGCCATTCCGCATACTGTACTTCTACTTTTGATACTTCGAGTACATTTAGCTGATAATACTTATACTCTTTTACTTAAGAAACACTTTGAATTCAGGACTTTCAATTTTATTGGACACAGAAAGCAACAGACAAGACAGGACAAAAATAATACACAGACAGATCGTGACAACTAATACATTTTGAGGCATTAGTAAACCTAGTACAGCTGCTTGTAACAGTCCCCCCTCAGCAGCGCTCACTCATGACCCCATCTCAAATGATGGCCTGCTTCTTTTGTGGAACCTCACAACCTCTTCATCCTGAAATATGTTTGACAAAGAGAGGTTAAATGTTTAACACTCACACTGGTTCAAGACTTTATCATTTGTGATTCAACAACTATACCTGCATTGCCCTTTCCTCCTGTCGCCTCTTGCAGTCTTGTGACCTCTCTTCTTCAGACCTTGGTGAATGAAAGACAAATATTAATAAAAAATGATATAGTCAGGTTACAGTGTAACAAATAGTCTCAAAAATGTAAATTGTAAAATTAAAGAAACATACGGCATGGGAATGTTTTTGAGGAGAACTAGGCACCACCAGTGCCTAATTTGCTGCATGTTTGTCTTGGAATATAAAAAGCACACAGATGGGTCAACAACACATGTCCTGAAAAGTCTTGTATCCACAAGTGATATCAATGAAAAACTGAAATATGAAACCCTTATTTATACATACCTCATTGAAATCAAATTGGGCTCTTGCCACAATGTAAAATGCGTACTGTAAATAAAGAAATAGTATATTATGTTAGGTTGTTGGTTGTTGTGATGCTATGGTGTTCATTGACTAATAATATTCCTCCGTGAATGTTGTTTTGGACATAAATAAATCACAGCATGTCTCAAACTATGAGCAATAATGGAGTGCATAGCATGCTGAAAGCATTATACATTTGTATACATCATTATAAACAGAAAAATAGGACTACTATATGTATACTGTATATCCAGTATCTTACCATCAAAACAAACACCCCACAGTTGTTCGAAAACCCTTGTCTTGGTAGGCCCTGTAGTGTGAAAAGTGACAATTACATCATACTCTTCAGTAGAATAATTTTAACAAATCTAACCTGGACATCATCCACACCAAGACTTGCCCAAGGCCCAGGGCACAAGATCTGAGCAAGGTTTCTGTGAACACAATGCATGTGAAAGTTAAGAATAAGTACAATTGAATTCAACTTTATAAGTACTCGAAAATCATGCAGAAAATCTTTGAACACTGTTGGAACAGGAACAAACTTGAACTTCCAAAAAAAAGTCATTAAGGGGTAAAACAGAACAGCCCCGCTGTCAAGTGGCATCTGGTTCTGTTCAATGCCTTTTATTTAATACAATGCATCCCATGTTAGTTCAAATCAAACAGAGCCATAGATTTAAAAAAAATAGACAAGTGGTCTAAAACAGAACTACCACTGTCCGGATGTGATGGAACTGTGCGCCAAAAAACCTGAATGGTTTGGTGCGACTATCATCTCTCCAGCCAGCGCCACGGAGGGGATCTAGAAAGAAAATCTCCCTAGCTTGTGGCCTCAGTATCTGTTAATATCACACGTTCCAATATCAACAGGTATACTTTGACATGCAAACGTTATATTATAAAGTTGTAGGATCTGTATTATACAACTAAATGAAGCACTGAATTGAAAGATAGAAACACTATTTGCGGCATGGCAAACTTCATTGTACAGTAAACAAACAATAGCAAAGACTGAACGACATGTACTCACACAGAGAGTCCAGGTTCCAGGTTCCCACACTGGAAGGAGAAGCCGTTGGAGATTTGCTGCATTTTCCTGGAAAAGCAAAAAACCAGTTGTGTTGATGTGACTTCAGTAATGAGTTGGTACGAGAACATGGAGCAGCAGCATGGATAATCATGATCAAAATACCGGCAGGTGTTGCATCGGATTGATGGTGGAAGATGGTGGAAACCAGGCAGCTATAACATGGCTGTTGGCAGCAAACACGCCATCTACTCTCTGTAACAGATGTAGTTTCATAATGTAATATCTTATAATTGTTTGGTATAATATAGTATGTTTTATACATATATTTACATATTTTAGAACAGCTTCAATACCTTCTCAGTAACTGTAAGACAGCTGTTCAGGATCTGGCAGAATACAAACACACAGTCAGTAAAATACAGAGTACATGAAACATGCCAACAATTAAAACAAAATCAGTTAGAAAGAGTACAAGAAACAAAGAGCGTGATCACTCTGAGTACCATCCCATCCATGTCATTAGCCAAACACAAACTCCAAAGATCTGACCGCGTGAGAGCCATCTTGCTCACAAAGGCTAGATGTGTGTTTGGGCTTTGGGTCTTGTCCAGAACCTGTGCCAGCTAAAGGAAGAAAAAAGAAAATGAAAACCGGCATTTTAAGTCATATTTAGCAAACATACAATATTTTGAACTGCTGACTAGTTCACTTGACTTGTTTGTTTGAACCTCCTGAAGCTCCTGTCCAGTCTCCCTGGTCCTTGGCCTCATTCACTTGATAACAAATCAACAACACAAAATGTATGTCTTTATACAGTACAACTTGTATGAGTACAAGTTGTCAATATCAAGCAGATAACTTAACTCCTGTTGCTCCTGACCATCTCTGTGGTGTTCTGAAAATGCACTGGCCATCCCAACTTGTGAAGGAGGAGCTGTTGAAATGAAATAATATGAGTTCTCCAGATAACCACATAAAAGAACAAGAACATAATGATTCTAAGAAATGCTTCACCTAATGATATCCTCCCATTGACATCAAGCTGTATTTCCATATCTGCTGGGATGATACTTTTCAGATGATCTGTATTGCTCTTTAGCTTTCTTATTTGTCACATTGTAGTGGTGCAGTATATTTATTTGCAGAAATATGTGTGTTGAGGGTGTTGTCATGTTCAAAAGTAATTGTTTTTCCTCATTCCTGAGAACAGTTGTTCGGCACCAGTGGCGTGCACAGACATTTATAGGGGCAGGTGCTCAAGAGAAAAAAAAGGGCACCTTCTGAGTCGTCGTGGCGGTCGCGCCGAAATTGTGCGCTCCGAAATTGTGCGCTCCGAAATTGTGCGCAAAAATTTGCCGGATAATGGCGGATTTTGTTAGTTTATTTTCGGTTTTTGGTTACTTTATTTCGGTTTTAGGGTTAGGGTTAGGTTAGGGTTATGTTATTTAATTCTGATTTTTGCCTGATTTTACTGATTTATTATCAATTTTTTAATTATTTTAACATTTATTTGTATTATTCTAAATGACTTAGGGGGGTCCAATCTGAAGCTAAGGGGGGGACGAAATCCCCCCCCCCCGGGATTGACGCCCCTGGTGGAACCGCCGGCTGCCTTAGCAGTGTGAGATTTATTAAAGGCACATCTTGTATGTCGTAATTGCATATATATTTATTTCAATAACCATATGCTGTCTGATGCAGATGCCTATCTAAAACAAATCAAATAGTAGGCTACTAGCTTCTACTCGCTAAAGCAACTGTAGTCAGGGATGCAAACTCATCAGGTATGAAAAAGGTGACAAGGATCCGAGCCCCCCGACCCCACAGAATATCGGCTTTAAAATTAGGAATAACAGAGGATTTTAGCACTCAGAACAACTAAAGCAGCAGGTAATAATAACAGAAACGCCAAAGAGTTACATCTAATAGAAATATATAAAAGCATTTATTTTAATTGTGTAGCAGTCAGTTTATAATTTTGGCAGCACTGTTGAGCATTTTGAAAATGTATTTTCATGCCTTAGTATTTTTATAATACTTTTCTACTTTCACTTGAGGAACATTTTGAATGCAGGACTTTTACTGTAACAGAGTATTCCTACACTCTGGTACTTCTACTTGTACTCAAGTACAATATCTGAGTACTTCTACTTTTACTCAAGTACAAGATCTGAGTACTTTTATTAAGTACAAGATCTGAGTACTTTTATTAAGTACAAGATCTGAGTACTTCTACTAAAGTACAAGATCTGAGTATACTTCTACTTTTACTCTAGTAGCCTACAATCTATACTTATACCACCTCTGTTTATAGCCTATGAAAAAAACTATTAGAAAACGAAGGCTAAAGCTAACGTTAGCAGATAGTGACAATGATATTGCGACAGAAAAACGTTCCAGTTCACATCACGCTCTGCCGCTCTGCTCTGAACACCTGAACGGCCCGTTCTAACAGCTGTTCACCAGCGGCTCAGTCTGTGCCACAGTGACTCCGCACAGTTAACGAACGCACCGTAGATAATGTAGCTGACCCTCATCCCGGAGCAGCAGAGTTCAGCCGGCCCGACAGGTAAGAAGACTCGAGCACACAGCTCGCGCTTCATATATTACAAAATAACACCATGCGCGTCATGATGGCACATAACAGCTCGCGACCGCAGATTATTTCGGCGATTAGATAAAATGTAAATTATATTTGACGCAACTTTAGTTACATTTCCATGACTTTTCCAAAACTTTGGGAAAAATATTGTTTTCCATAACTTTTCCAGGGCCTGGAATTTGCATTTTGAATTTCAATGACTTTTCTAGGTTTTCAATGACCGTACGAACCCTGTATAGTTTAGTTTGGCATCTGATTTAGGGGATTAAACAATACACTCATTGTATTTGTTACTTGGTTACTTACTTGGTCGTCACTAGGGCACTTTTAATCGTGTTGCTGCGTGCTGCTGCACCACACACCCGCCGTGGCCTGTCTGACTGACTGACTGTCAGCTCTGCGAGCTGCGCGTTCACGTTGAGAGCAGGGAAGGGAGGGGTTGCAGCCAGAGCACGTACGGGAGTGCCGCGGGGCACGTGTGGGGATGTCTGACAAAATTACAACGCGCATTTGGGGCATTGTTGTATATATTAGAAGCTTTTAATCCAGAATTGATCGATGTTACCATGAGCCACATACAGTACACTGTAAAAAATAAAATAAAAAAAACTGTAAAAAACGAACTTTCAAAAGGGCACATTGCTGTCAAGAGGGCAAAACGGGCAGGAGCTCAAGCACTACCTAGAGCAGGGGTACTCAAATACAAATCTTAAAGGTCCAAAATAAATGTTTCAATAAGACAAAGGTCCGTTTATTACGGTCATTCAAACTTTTAAACAATTGCAACAAGATTATTAACACGAGGTTGCAAAAACAAAAATAATCTGTATGCAGCCGTTTTCATTGTTATTGTGTCTGTGCTTGACCCCTCAGAGTCGCAGTGTGAGAGCTGCACAGTTATGAATAAAGGCAGCTGCACCCTCTTTCATTCAGCATTCCCATTATTGCTTTATACATGTCTTGCCCCCATGTGCGTCCACTGAGGTTCGTCAGGCCCAACACATCTTCAACAAACTCCCCCTTTGCCTCATCATAACAACTCACAAACACCAGCAACTGAGCATTGTCAGTGGTGTCAGTGGACTCACCCACAGCTAAGGAAATGCACTGTGCATTTTGTATTCCATCACAAAGCTGATGAATCAAATCACCAGCCAGTATTTATGTTCTTCTGGTTGCTATGGAATCTGAGAGGGGGATTTGCTTGATTTGGCCTGTTATTTCCTCTTTTTGTTTGCCTTCAACATGGTCTCCATCACTTCAGTCATACATTCTTTTATACTGCAGTTATTATCCAGTGGAAAGTCCTTACCTACTGGCCTAGGTAAATCAAAGTGGTTACTTTTTTTTGGCTGGGCAGTGTAGTTTTACACACCGTCTGATTTGACTTTCTCAGGACTTAAAACTGTTTTTTGGGGGCAGACCCCCTCAAAGAAAAAAACATATTTACACACGTAAGGTCATCATCTTAATAGTTGTGTATGCTCATCCGTGAGCAGAGCATCAAGTTGGCATGTCTATTACAGCTGAATGCGGCGATTACCATTTTGTTCAGCAAAACGCCTCACAAACGTATTAAGATCAACAGCTTTAGAGCGTTTTGATTCAATGCTGAGTACAGCCACACTGACAGTCTCTTCTCTGTCAGTGTAGA